TAGAGGCCTGGTGCATGGGTGGGGGCCAGCTGGTTTGCCCTGAAGGGTGTCCCGGATCAGGGTGGGGATCCCCACTGGGGTGCCTGGCCAGCCTGGGTGAGGGGCTGAGGGCCGTTTTCAGGCTGGCCACACCCCCTTCAGGGTGGGGGGGTCCCGCTGGGGTGCCTGGCCAGTCTGGGTGAGTGGCTGATGGCAGTTTGCAGGCTGTTCAAGTCCCCCAGTGGGGACCCTCACCCCATGAGGGTGTGGGTCCCCGCTGGGGTGCCTGGCCAGCCTGGGTGAGGGGCTGATGGCTGTTTGTAGGCTGGCCACAGCCCCTTCAGTGTGGGGGGTCCCCACTGGGGTGCCTGGCCATCCTGGATTAGGGGCTGAGGGCCGTTTGCAGGCTGGCCACAGCCCCTTCATGATGGGGGTCCCTGCTGGGGTGCCTGGCCAGCCTGGGTGAGGGGCTGATGGCTGTTTACAGGCTGGCCATGGTCCCCAGCCACCCAAGCTCCCAGTGGAGGCTGGCTGGAAGCAGGTATCTGGGATTTATTTGTCTTTTATAATTGAAACTTTGTTGCCAATGAGCGGAGTCCACAGCCGGCTCAAAGCAGGCGGGAAGCTTGGTTTCCTCCATCGCCGGGGCAACCAAGCCTCCTGCTTGCTCCAGCTCCGTGGCTGCTGGCCGCCATCTTGGTTGGGTTAATTTGCATATAGTTGCTCTGATTGGCTTGTGGGAGTGGCTTAGCACGTAGCGAAGGTATGGTCAATTTGCATCTTTGTCTTTTATTAGTGTAGTTATAAAAGCCTAAGAGACTGCTACAGCTAAATTACTGGTACGACCAGAACGACTGTTCAACCAGTTGCTATGATGTGCACTGACCACCATGGGGCAGATATTCAACGCAGGAGTTGCTCCCTGGTGGTCAGTGCGCTCCCTTAGCCAACCTCCTGCAACCCCCCCCCCCCCCGCTGGCCCCCCTAATAGGCCTCGATCACCAGCCAGGCTGAGGGACCCTACCCGAGCACGAATTTGTGCACCGGGCCTCTAGTGTTATAATATCAGACAGGGGGATGGGGATGATCTGGGTTCCAGAATGCTGTCTTGGGTGCATTGTCTGACTACATGTACATTTTCTTGATATGTAAAATGACAGCAGCAGAGATTATAAGCACTGAAAAAAATTCATATACATATTAGCAACTCACCGGGTCATTCTCACTGGTGCAGGAAATAGCTCTGGGACTCTCAAATGAAACCTGGTTATCCAGGTGAGCAGCAAGGCTCTGGGATGCCTGGGTCCCCAGGCGCAAAACATGTCCAGGGTCCAACTAGAAAAGAAACCATGTTAGTGTTTTGTAATTTTTAAAAATATATATTTTATTGATTTTTTTACAGAGAGGAAGGGAGAGGGATATTTAGAAACATCAATGAGAGAGAAACATCGATCAGCTGCCTCCTGCACACCTCCTACTGGGGATGTGCCCACAACCAAGGTACATGCCCTTGACCGGAATTGAACCTGGGACCTTTCAGTCCGCAGGCCGACGCTCTATCCACTAAGCCAAACTTGTTAGGGCTAGTGTTTTGTAATTATGAAGTTTATGCTTGCTACAACACTTAGTTTTTAAGTAATATCTGCAACAGGGAAAAATGCCACTAACATACATTTTATTTTTATGTAAATGAGGATCCTTGTAATTATTGTAATTCTCTAAGTATAATCACATTATTCATGCTCTGAATCTATTTCAGCTTATGTTGCTACTAGAGGCCCAGTGCATGAAATTCATGCACTGGGGGGTGGGCGGGGGCGTGGGCCCTCAGCCTGGTCTGTGCCCTCTTGCTGTCCGGGACCCCTCAGACATCCCTTTCGCAGTCCAGGACCCCTTGCTCCTTACTTGTTTGGCTCGCTGCTCTTTAGCGCTGCCATGGAGGCAGGAGAGGCTCCCGCCATTGCTGCTGCACTTGCCAGCCATGAGCCTGGCTTCTGGCTGAGCGATGCTCCCCTTGTGGGAGCACACTGACCACGAGGGGGCAGTTCCTGCATTGAGCGTCTTGCCCCTGGGTGGTCAGTGCACATCATAGTGACCGGTTGTTCTGATTGTTCCACCATAACGGTCGCTTAGGCTTTTATTATATAGATGGAACTACCTGACAGTCAGTGCACCCCCAGATTGCGAGAGGGTGCAGGCCAGGCCGAGAGACCCCACTGGTGCACAAACAGGGCCGGGGAGGGACGCAGGAGGTTGGCCAGCCAGGGAAGGACTGCGGGAGGGCTCCAGGGCATGTCTGGCCCATCTCACTCAGTCCCAATCGGCCGGACCCCAGCAGCAAGCTAACCTACTGGTTGGAGTGTCTGCCCCCTGGTGATCAGTACATGTATAGAGAGTGGTTGAGAGGCCTTAGCATATCATTAGCATATTACGCTTTGATTGGTTGAACAGACGACTGAACACTTAGCATATTAGGCTTTTATTATATAGGATACCAGGGCTCTGTCCCAAATGGAAACAAATAATTCCATTAGAGATTGTTCAGGAACATAGTTCAGCCATTAACCTGAACCAGGAAACTTCTTTTAATGCTCTTGCCCACAATGATGAATGGTGGCCAGTACTGTTCAATTCTCAGCTGTTGAGTAATCGTAGTCACTTCAGTAATTAGGGGATTAGTGCAATGTTCCTATTTGGTAGGTATAATTATACCCTCCACAATTTTCTTGCCAGCTGTGTCCTGGAATAAAGAACCTTTATTGATAAAAGAATGAGGGAGTATGTACAGCATCTAGGTAAGTGAAAAGATAATGCTAAATTCAGTGAATGGCACGTGGAAACCTCTGAACTAGGAAGGGATTGGGGGGATGGAGTGCAGAGAGAGGATGATTCAGGAGACAAATCTGGCAAAATGCTAACTGGAGAACCCCCAAACTGAGTTTGAGGATAATAAATAGACTTATGTAGGAGTGAAAAGATGCCAGTTACAAGGGAAAGATTAGGATATGAAATCAGCAGAAGCAGATATGAAAGATGGCTGCAAAAAGGAAGATACCCGATAAATCAACAGGTAACATAAAAACTGCCTGTATTTCTATTTAGTCTTACCAAGCAGCCTCATGAGTGCAGAAAATGTGTTATTTTTGTACCAGCCCTCATAACACTTATATCCACTTTAAAAAGACCTTAAACTCAATAACAACTTTCTAATTGGTTATCTTTACCTCTAAATCTTTGATTCTTCATCTTTCATAGTGTAAAAGACTTGTCCTCCCAAATATTAAGTTTAACCTTCTTCTAATAAAAAAGTTTGGTTTTGCCCTAGCTGGTTTGGCTCAGTGGATAGTGCGTCGACCTGCAGACGGAAGGGTCCCAGGTTCGATTCCGGTCAAGGGGACATGCCCAGGTTTCAGGCTCCATCCCCAGTCGGGGGAGTGCAGGAGGCAGCTAATCAATAGTTCTCTCTCATCACTGATGTTTTTAACTCTCCCTCTTCCTTCCTCTCTGAAATCAATAAAAATATATTAAAAAAAAAGTTTGGTTTCCTACTAATGCCAAAATAAGCCCCAAAGTCCTTAGCATGGTAATCAAGGCCATGACTTCAATGGACCTCTCTAGTCTCATTCCTGTATGAACTCCATATTCCAGCCTATGACCATGTTATTCACGTTGATACGTCTATACTGCTCATTCTACTTCAACTTCCCTTTCTCCCTATTGAAATCTTACTCCTCCTTTAAGGCTCATCTCAAATGTCACAACCTCTGTGAAGCTTTTCCAGATACCTCCAGTCAAAAGAAATTATTTTCCCTCTCTGCTGATAGCACTTTGTCTTGCATGGCATTAAAAAAAATAAAAAAATATATATATATATTAAATTTTCACCCAAGGATATTGTCCCATTAATTTTTAAAGAGAGTGAAAGGGAGGGGTGCAGAGAGAGAGAGAGAGAGAGAGAGAGAGAGAGAACATTGATGTGAGAGACACACATGGACTGGTTGCCTCCTGCACAACCCCCAAGCTGAGGATTGAAACTTCAACTGAGGTATGTACCCTTGACCTGGAATCAAACTCGTGACCCTTTGGTCTAACCACTGAGAGAAACTGGACAGGGCAATAGGTTCTTCAAAAAAATATTTTTATTGATTTTTAGACAGAGGGAGAAAGAGAAACATGGATATGAGAGTGGAACATCAATTGGCTGCCCCCTGCATGCCCTGACTGGGAATCAAACCAGCAACCAGACCTGTACAAGGGACAACATTCAACCAACTGAGCCACACCGGCCAGTGCTTCCATGGCATTTTTACTCTGCCTTGAACTGCATTCATGGCTTTTGTTAACTGAATACTTGTTAGATGTGAGGCAATACAGAGTTTTAAACACATTTCTGAGCCAAGAATCCTAGAAGATAGGTATAATATCATATGTTTTATGATGAGGGAAACCAAGATTCAGGGAAATTAATCCTGTCTAAGGTCAGAGTTGGCAGGTGGTAAAGCCAGAATTCAAATTCAGGTTTGTCTGACTCTAAAATCTATTCTTTTTATTATATATTATCTTATACACAAGTCTGTCTCCCATTCTAGGACACACACTTGGAAGAGAATAGATCAGATTTTATTCACCTTTGTATTTCCTTCTCTAAGTAACACACCACAAATACTTCATACTGTGCTCTGGAATAAAGAATCTTTCATTGGAGACATATAGCAGGGAGTATGTAAAGCATCTAGCTAAGTGAAAATAAATTGGACTAATTCAACTCAACTGCATACAGAAACCTCTTGAACCAGCACTCATAGATTTAATATAAAGTAATAGAGTTGCTCCAACTTTGTCTGAGGACTGCAGATTCCAATTTTTATCAAATATCCAAATTCTCTATATTTCCCAGCCTCCTGTGCAAATTGGGTTTTTTTTATTAATTCTTGTAAATGAGCTCTACATGAATATAATTTGTGTCTTTTCTAGTCAGTCAGCTTAGCGTGACTATAAATCCTCTTTCTTCCCCTGTCAAGGCAACCTACGTGCTGAGGTGGCATCCCAAGATGAACCTTCATTCCCATGTCAAGCCCCTCCCACATGTGCCTGTAAACCACTCTGGAAATACAGCAACAGGAAAAACAAAACAAAACACATGCACAGATCTTGATAAACAACAACATTTGTTGTGTTAAGCCAATGAGAATTCAGGGTCTGTTGCCTCAGTACAGCAACCTGAATAGTATACCGTACTATTGATAGGACAGTGTCCTCAATTCTACTGGAGAGTAAGTACCATGTCTCTAAAAAATAGTGAAGTGGAAAATTTAAGATATTCAAGGACCACAAGGTGGTGCTATTTCTACAAGAATTCTATGACTTTTGTTAACTGCTTTTTGAAGCAAATTAAGAGCTAGCAAAATGGATTCCTTACTTATCACAGCATTATATATGGCATCACCCAGCTAGTCTCTTGCTTCCAGGGAAAACAACTATAAGTACAATAGCCTCTACACAGTTCCAGAATGAACATCATGCAGTTAAGAATAGCATTCATGAGCCAAATCAAAACAGTTACTCTAAACCAATCTATGTGAAGCACACAATTTCTTCAGGCATCTCTGCATTTTGGACTTGTCTTCCTTGTCTGCTATTAAAGAAGAAATTGTAACCTTTTAAATGTTGAAACCAGAATCCTTCCTTTGTTGATCCTTGCTTTTATTTTCATTTGATGTACATAGGTTTATGGTAAACCCCTGGAAAAAAGATGAATTCTATAGGAGGAAGGGCTGCTTTTCTAGGAAATCTAATCTGCAATAATTAAACAATGAGATGGAAGTGACTAAGCCCTTCTGGCTCCGTTCTCGTTTTTCAGGATACAGCTCTGGGAGGATTTCCTCTGGATCCTACTAATCCCGGTTAAGTGCTCCTACTGGGTGCTTTAATCACAGCACCATACTATAACAACCGTTTGTACATGATTCCACTACTGACTTTGAGATCCTAAATTGCATGGACTGTAACATGCACTATAGCACAGTGGTTGAGGCCACAGGCTTTGAAGTCAGACAGACCTGGTACCTAGTCTGGGCTCTGCAATTTCACAGCCTCTTACTTTGCCTTTCTAATCCACAATTTCTGCACCTGTGAAACAAAGGTATCATCTAGTTCCTGGGTTATTATGACAACTGAAAACGAAAAGCATTAGCCCAGTGCCTGGCACATAACAAATGCCCAACAAATAGTAACCATTAGTGAAATGAGTAATCTGAAAATCCTCAGTATTTGCAATATGGAAAGTAATGAAAACTATTTGCTAAATAAATGAAAGAATGAAGTAGAGCAACAGAATGTTTTTTTCATATATGATTTTATTCAACTATCAGATACTTAGGGTCTAAACTGGCAACATATTTTTCTTTTAAGTACTTTATTAAGAAATGATAATCCAACTAGAGAATACGAATAAAAGTTAGAACTGCAATCAATCTTTTAAAAAATGTTACTTCTCCTATGACATGGTAAATTCTCAAACAGAACTGTTCTATGGAGACCTTGTTACTTGAAGATTGTTAGGGCAGCTGGGAGTGAAGTGAATGGGAAGGGAAATGGAATTGTAACTGTTCTTTTGAGTGTGAACTTATAAATTAAAGTCAGCTGAAGTTCTCTAAAGCATTTAATTCTGGATATAGTAAATCCATATAAAAACAGAAGTCCACCTACAGACAGTCTGTACAAAGCACTGAAGTCAGTTAGGACTCACCTTATGGACCCTGGAGACAAGTCTTGTCACTCCTTTCAGCATTGTCCCCACACTCCTGAAGAAGTGAAAGGGTCAGCCAGAACTGGGAAAAGACATTTGCACAATGGATTAGTATCCTGAATACATAAAGAATGCCTACAACAGATAAAAAATGAGAAGACACAGACAGACATTTCACAGAAAAGTTTATACAGGTGGATAGTAAACCCATGAGAATTCTCATTACAAATCAGAGAAATACAAATTAAAACAACCACAATGAGATCATTCACAACCACCATTTTGGGAAAAATGAAAAGATCAGACAATAGCAAATGTTAAAGAGGCTGTGAAGGAAGCACTAGGAACTTTCATACATTGTCAACGAGAGAGTAAATACAAATATCTAAAAAAACAAATTAGGAATCATGTTGTAAAGTTGAAAATGTACAAGTCTGAAACCCAGGTATTCTATTCTTTGGTATTTATTCTACAAAAACACTTATACATGTACACTGGAAAATATCTATAACAATGTACATAGTAATAGAATATGAAGCATTATCAAAAATTGTGAAAAGCCCAAATGTCCATTGGTAGAAGAGTGAGTAAACAGAGATATGGTCATACAATGGAAATCCATACAGAAATAAAAAGAATAAATTGCAGTGACATGCATTACATGTATGACTCTCAAAAACTAATATTGAGCCCTGGACAATATTAGTCCAGGTTGGAGCATTGTCCTGTATACCAAAAAGGTTGTGGGTTCGATTCCCAGTTGGGGTAAAAGCGGGAGGCAACTGATTAATACTTCTCGCTCTCTCCCTCCTTCTCTTTCTAAAAAATCAATAAAAAACATATCCTGGCCCTAACTGGTTTGACTCAGTGGATAGAGCGTCGGCCTGCGGACTCAAGGGTCCCAGGTTTGATTCCGGTCAAGGGCATGTACCTTGGTTGCGGGCACATCCCCAGTGGGGAGTGTGCAGGAGGCAGCTGATCGATGTTTCTCTCTCATTGATGTTTCTAACTCTCTATCCCTCTCCCTTCCTCTCTGTAAAAAATCAATAAAATATATTAAAAAAACAATAACAAACCATATCCTGAGGTGAGGACTAAAAAACAAAACAAAAAGCTAATATTGAGTGAAAACTATTATATATAGCAATAGAACATATAAAATTCAAAACATAAAGCTTGCCCTGACCAGTTACTCAATGGTTAGAGCGTTGGCCCTCGGACTGAAGGGTCTCGCGTTTGGGTTTAATTCCCGGTCAAGGGTACATGCCTGGGTTGCAGGTTCAATCCTTGGCCCCAGTCTGGGGGCGTGTAGAAGGCAACCAGTTGATGTGTCTCTCTCTCTCCATCCTCCCTTCCACTCTCTTTAAAGATCAATGGAAAAAATATCCTTGGGTGAGGATTAAAGAAATCAAACATATAAAGCTTAATTCATTACTAGGGGAATCTATACTAATAAAAGCCTATGTGGTCATCACGCCCTCATGCCATGATGCCCTCACGCTGTAACAATCCATCACCATGAGGCTGCGTGTGCAGTGAGCGCACGTGGGTGGGCGGGGCTGCGTGCAAGGGAGTAGCGACCCCCGGCTCTGGCCTACCTCTTTGGGGCAATTCATCGAGGAGCCCAATGGGTGGGCGGGGCCTACCTCTTTGGGGAGATCGATCCAGGGGCTCCTGCACTGTGAGAGGGCATAGGCCAGGCTGGGGACCCCCTCCCCCCCCCGCTCGAGTGCACAAATTTTGTGCACTGGGCCTCTAGTGTATACATATTTAGTAAAATTGAAAGGAAAAGGCAAGAGAATAAGCACATCATTTGGAATAATGCTTACTCTTAAAGAGAAAGTAAAGAGATAAGACTGGGGCAAGGCAGACAGAGAAATTGGTAATGATCTCTTTCTAATGCTAGCTAATGGGTACATGAATATTTGTTTTGGAGAAATATGTACTGAATATTTAATTGGTATAATGGTACCCAAAGGACAACATGTTAGTTAAATGGGTTGAAATTTCCTTGACCATTGACATCTGTGCATGGTTCTCACTCTTGGCTGCATACCAATGTCTGTCTCACCACCAAAGAGGTTGGCTGGCTGGTCAGGGTTGGCCTCCGCTGGGATGACTGACTCTGCTCTACACTGTCTCTCATTCTCTAGCCGTGTATCCTGGACTTGTCATAGCAGTGGCAGAGGTCCAAGGGACCTGAAATAACGTAAGACTCTTCAAACCTAGCTCAGAATCAGCATGGTCTTCTGTCACATATTATTGCAGATTCAAAGGATGGGAAGTAGATTTTACCTCTTTATGGGAAGAGCTGCAAAATCACAATTTTTCTGGCATGGAAACCACTGTACTGTTAAAAAATGGAGAAGCTTGAATGTAAACATGGCTATTGGACTTGAGTGACGTTCTTCATCATTATACCATATTTCTTCCTAGGTGGCCTCAATCCCTTATTTGTGCAGCTATTTGTTGATTTTGATCTTAGCTAAGAATAAGTAAATTATTAAAATTCATTTTATTAATTTGAACCTTATTTCAGTTTGATATCTTCTATTAAGAAAATTTTTAAAATAAATTCACTATTTTAAACATTTAGTTATAAACTTAACCAGTAAGTTTTATCTTTAAAAATTTCTTAAGAAAAAAAAATTTATTGATTGATTGCCTGGGCCTGTGTTCTCAGTGGTTAGAGTATCAGCCCATGCATCAAAGGGTCTTAGGTTCAATTTCAGGTCAAGGGCACATACCTGCGTCCCAGGTTCAGCCCCAGCTCCAGTAAGGGAGAGTGGGAGGCAACCAATCGTGTCTCCCCGCCCTCCCCCCCCCCCCCCGCTTTTCTTCCCTTCTACTCTCTCTAAAAATCAACAGAAAAAGTATCTTGTGGTGAGGATTAACAAACAAAACAAAAATTTATTTATTGATTTTAGAGAGAAAAAGAGAGGCAGAGACATCAATTTGTTTTTCCACTTATTTAAGCATTCATTGCTTGCTTCTTTTTTTAAAAATATATTTTATTGATTTTTTACAGAGAGGAAGGGAGAGAGATAGAGAGTTAGAAACATCCATCAGCTGCCTCCTGCACATCTCCCACTGGGGATGTGCCTGCAACCCAGGTACATGCCCTTGACCAGAATCGAACCTGGGACCTTTCAGTCCGCAGGCCAACGCTCTATCCGCTGAGCCAAACCGGTTTCAGCTCATTGCTTGCTTCTTATATGTGTCCTGAGGAGGGATCGAACCGAAAACCTTGGCATATTGAGATGGTGCTCTAACCAATTGACCTACACAGCCAAGGCTTAAAAAATTTATTTTAACATCTGAAGCCTTATTTTTAAAGTTTATATTACAGAGCTTTTCCTATTTATCTAGACTGCATTTAGACAACATCCCAGCAAGGAAGCACCATGAAAATGTTTATTTGCATCTATTGCAGGGGGGGGCGAGGGGGATCTGAGAGCAGTTTAGCTAAGACCTGCTGCTGGACAGTAATATCATATAGCCCATCCTATATAATAAAGCCTAATATACAATTAGACTGAACGGCAGAAAGACTGGTTGCTATGACGTGCACTGACCACCAGAGGGCAGAGCTCAACGCAGGTGCTGCCCCCAGCCTGCAGGCTCCAGGCCAGCCAAGGTGGGTGCCAACAGGGGCCCTCCCAATCGCCCCACTGGTTGTCCCACAGATTGGCCCTGATCGCTGGCCAGGCCAAGGGACCCTACCCATTCACGAATTTCGTGCATTGGGCCTCTGGTATATCATACAGCTTGAGGACTGATGCCAGAAGAAGCAGAGCAATAGGGAAATACAGATAGACCCTCGAGATATTGTGGGTTTGGTTCCAGTTCACTGTAATAAAGTGAGTATTGCAGTTAAGTGAGTTGTAATCTTTTTGCTGGTGGACAGTGTTGCCTTCCATTTGTAAAAAAACACACCTATAAAACGCAACCAAGTGAGGCACAATAAAGTGAAGTGTAATGTATGCCTCTACTGGAAATCTAGGCAGCTTTGAGTGCCTATAACTTTGCTTAAAGAAAACTTTCAGTTAAACCACAGCCGCACTTAAAGCACAAATCACAATCCAAATCAGAGTACTTTGGAGGTTAGTCATGATTTGGCTCCCTTTTCTATATTAGTTTCTTTTCTTTTTTTTTTTTTTTTTTAAAGCTATTTTTATTGTTTTCAGAGAGAAAGGGAGAGGGAGAGACAGAAACATCCTTGATGGGAGAACCATTGATTGGCTGCCTCCTGCACGCCCCCTTCTGGGGATGGAGCCTGCAACCCGAGCATGTGCCCTTGACTAGAATCAAACCCAGAAGCCTTTAGTCTGCAGGCGGACCTCTATCTACTGAGCCAAACCAGATAGAGCTCTATATTAGTTTCTTATTACTGCTGTAACAAATTACTACAAACTTAGCGGCATAAAACAACACAAATTTGCCACTTTCTGTGGTTTAGATGTCCAAAATCAAAGTGTCTGCAGGCTTGTATTCTTTCTGTAGGCTCTAGTAGAGAATCTGTTGAGGGGTGTGTGTGTGTGTGTGTGTGTGTGCGCTATTTTTTTTTTAAATTTTTTTTTACTTTTTCAGTTTTTAAAGCCTGCTCTTTCATCTTCAAAAGCTGCAATAGCTGGTCAAGTCTTTGACATATTGCATCACTTTGACACTTCTAGCTCCCTCTTCCAACTTTTCAGAACTTTGTAATTACAGTAAGCCTATCAAGTAATCCAGGATATTCTCCCTACTTAAGGTCAGCTCATTAGCAAACTCAATTCCATCTGCATACTTAATTTACTCTTGTCATGTAATATATTCACAGGTCCCAGGGATTAGGACATGAACATCTTTGGACAGTGATGGCGAACCTTTTGAGCTCGGCGTGTCAGCATTTTGAAAAACCCTAACTTAACTCTGGTGCCATGTCACATATAGAAATTTTTTGATATTTACAACCATAGTAAAACAAAGATTTATATTTTTGATATTTATTTTAT